CAAAATCGATTTTTGTTTTTGGTTAAACTCTAAAAAAATGAACGTATATACATGAAATTTTCACTGGTCGTTTATATTTGCATTTTCTATACACGATAAAATTTTCAAAACATTTTGATTTGTTTTGAACTGTTTATGAACATTTCCAGTATATGTATATGTCATATCTCTGTTACACCTTGTATATGTATTACAAACCATCGTATAGCATTAATTAGTAATGTACTGTAATATTCTGTAGGTGTAAGTGACTTATCTAAGATAAAAAATGGCACGACAATAAATGGAATTATTAACAATTGGAATTATTAACACACTTTAAAAGTAGCTAGCTTCAGGCGTTCGATTATTATTACATGTACGGTACAACAATGCAAGTGTCGCACTGTTTCAACTCAAGCACCGATGTTAAATTTAAACAATAAAACTAACCCATATATAATATATTTATTATTAAAAATTACAATTTAACTACATTTAACTTTGAACAGATCAGATAGATAAAATATGTACCTATACTATATAAAATACAATGTATGTTGTATTATTATAAGAGTACCCACCTACCTTACATAGTTTACTGTGAACTTTATAAAGTAGGTATATGGCCATATAGATTATAGGTTTGCATAATATGTTTCTTTACATAAAAGCATGAATAAGAGAAACATGATAAATAATAAATATGATAAAATATAACACCGTATATACTAGAATATTTTTATACAGTATATTTTCAGAATTTTATTGGAATTGATTTTCTTATAAATCTTGTACAAATTTGGCATTTCATTTTATTTGATATAGGTACCTATCTTAAATATGTGTATGTATATTGTACAATTTAGTATAAAAACAATTTCATAATATTTATTTACTTATTATACATACATTAATTAGATAAATTAATATTACATTATACATAGTATATATAGGTAATTGTTTATTTTTTTGGTATTCATATTTGGATCATTTATCCTATAAACTCGCCACAAAAATGTTACACATTTTACAAAAAAAAAAATTTGTTTACTAAATACATGTATGCAGTGCACTTAAAATAAATATTCAAAGCTTTAAAAATGAGCTAAGAGTAAACTATAAAAAAAAAGGTTTGTTATTAACTTAAAAATAATTATTAAATTTTAAATTTGATACATTTTGTCAAAATTCGAACTTTAAATGCTTATAAAAAAAAAAATGTGGCCATGTATTTTTAATATTAATAATATTAATAATACTATATATATTGATTGACCCATCAAATAAAATTGTATTAATATTTATAGAATAAAAACTAAAAAAAGCGGGTAAGTAGATGTCGCCCTCCTGTACAGTAGGTTACAAGTGGTTCATTTTATAATGGATTGTATTAAACTTGAATTTAATAATATTATAATATCATTGTATAAGAAAAACGATTCTTAACAGAGACGGTTTGTTAGTCTGGATATCTTATATGGCTATTATTTATTACTTATATCATGTAAGTTGAATTAATATTAAAATATTATTATTTTTTATTCGTTTCGATGGTGATTAACAAAGCGTTATAAATTAAATTCCCATTTTTAGCGGTTTTTCGTAATTTTTTGGTAGTTTTTCCCGTGGCATTATATAACTATTGAGTAAACCCAAAAACGACCTCTTTAAAGTACCATCTTGATCCAATTTGCTAAAAGATAAGGTACTATATCTTAAAATCGAAACACTCCTTCTGGTAGAAATTTTGTATACAGGATATAAAAAAAAATAATAATAAATAAACACCATTGTAAAACCAATAACTCCCTCACTCCTTTCAGAATCTATTACCTAATAGTTATATGAGAAAACAAGTGAACATCAAATGTTCTAAAAATATGAATTTCAAACGCACATTGTAAATTCAATTTGACTTTCTTGTAGACATTGTTTTTTTTTGATAAATGTAGAAAAACTTATAAGATTAATCTTATATTACATTTTCAAATCTTAGATTTAAAAAGAAAATGTTTTATAAATTTATCACTCAATAAATCATCTGTGCGGATCTTCACGCTTAAGACGGATACATACAATTTTGCACTGTGATTTCGGAGTAAGTTACATAAATATAAATACTTCTTAGATTTATACAACGAAAAACTAATTTTATACATTAGAATATTTCATCGAAGGATAATATTATAAATAAAATACAACTTATACTGTTTCAACAGCAAGTCTTTAATTTGTTAACAACTGAATTCTACCTCACATCAACGGTCTGCTACCTTGCTGTGGTACAAGTTTACCACAGCAACCATTTTCACGTGAACCCTCAAGAATGTCTAGGCGTCTGCCAAAATCAGATTTTGTTTTCTGGACATCAATTTTAGTTCGTATACATGAGACAGTCCTGACCTCTTACTATAGCCGTAGAACATACGTCTGCATCGCACGGACAGCCATTTTCAAGCGCATACGTAAGGCAGTTCACGTGTCCACCAACCACTGCATTAGAACAAGTGGTTTTGTCCCACGGGCATCCATTTTCATGCGCATACCTAAGACAGTCCAGGTGTCCGCCATGGGCAGCATAAGAGCACGTGAACTCGTCCCACGCGCAACCGTTTCGATGGGCATACATAAGACAGTCCAGGTGTCCGTTTTTCGCGGCGTAAGTGCACGCGATTGAGTCCCACGAGCACCCGTTTTCACGGGCGTACGTCAGGCAGTCCAGGCGTCCAGTCTCCGCAGCTTTGGTGCACATCCGATCGTCCCAAGGGCATCCGTTTTCATGGACATACCTAGTGATGTAAATTTTCATGAACATTTTTTTTTGTTGTTGTGAACGTTTTCGTGAGCATTTTCAAAAAGTTGAAATTTTTCAATTGAAAATTGTCATGCTTACCTCAAACATATCAGTTTTCCGGACATTGCAGCGTACATGCTCGTCGAACAGTCCCAGGGACTGCCGTTCTCGTGTGAGTACACTAAGCATTCCAGGTTGCCCTTGCGAGCAGCCTGGGTGCACGCCGATGGAAGCAAATCGTTCGCCGTGTACCAGGGAAAGCCGATCTCCCGTGCGAACTTCAAACAGTCAATGTGTCCGTGCGACGCTGCCTTCTCACATGTATACATCAACGACTTGTCCTGGATGACGGGATGCATCTTGTCGAACGTGGACAGCCTGTCGCCGAGCGAGTCGAAACCACCACTATCCGTATTCAGTTTGACGATTTGGAAAAGCGACTCGCAACAAATCTGCAAGTCGACGTCCGGAACTTCCAACTCGTCGTACATGTCCCGCTGAATCTTGTCACACGCGTTGTAAGCCGTCTTCAACAGACTGGGTACGACGTAGGTTCTCCCGTCGTCAGCAGCCATCTTGGCTGTCTTGCCCAAAGAGTGTTCGACGTGGGTGGCCTGCTTGAACTGTAAATAAAAAATAAAACACATATAGTCAACACGATAACACATTCGAATTGATGACACACACCTGTAGAGAAATACTCCGATAAGACTACGAGTGATTTGTTCGATTAGAAACGTGATAACCGTAAGTCATAGAGGCCATCTGTAGAAACAAAATGTAAATTAATACAGATTGTGATGTCTTATACAACGATTAGAGCACAATATTAAAGACTGATTTACAGCTACCCAGTCAAACATTCTTCATTTCAGTTCGTCACGCCATTAGAAATTGTCCGGTTGATTACGGTTGGTCAATTGTATCATGATATTACATATGGTTTAATATTAGAATACGATAAAAGGCACAAACACGATAGACTTCGTACCCGTGAGCCTACGAACATTGAATGTAGTCAAAAGAAAATATAAATTCTTCACGTCATGAGGTGGGGCTATGACAGAGAAATGACTAAGTAGTAAGCTTTGATGTTTAAAATATCTGGTTTTATTTTTAAGAAAATGCTACTCTCAAATGTATTGACGTTAATCAAATAAGATTAGTGGAATTCTTACTTAAAGGCTTAATCTAAAGCTTAGGTACGTATAGAGTGACATTTTTACACACGATAAGAGTCTTATAATTTAATAACTTTAAGTATTTTTATCATGTTTATACAACATAGGTACCTACCTACATTACATGCGTTGCATGCCTATAGTACGCACTATTATTTATTACAATATGTTCAAATTATTGTACAACAGTAGCATATTTTAAAGCATTTAATTTTGATGTAGTGGGAGTGGGGGGATGTAGGAATCCTTAGATGGGATTCCTGACAGTAAAATTAATAATACCAATTCTATGCACACACACACAACCGATGCACTTCTCTAATATATTGTGATATACATATTTATATATCTACATATTAAAACAAATAATATAACATATTTTTACGAATGTATTATATTATTTTAAAAGTTATGTAACTGATTGCATCAGATAGTAGTCGTATAGCAGTATGTATGTTAGCGGCAATGTGTATAATATATTTAATATATTAAATGCCTAGGAATTCTATATAATACCTGGTGGTTTTTAAAAAAGTGTATAATAAATTTTTTTTTACACACATTTCCTAAATATTTTGTATAATAACTAGACATTTCATAAAATGACAAACAACAAATTGGCAATCTGTAGAATAGTGATGTTACCCAAATAAATAGATTTCCTTCTATCATAATTAAGACAATTATTAATTTTATTAGCGCACAAAAAAATATTTATTACAATATCATCATTACAATTTATCATTAATATTACAAAATATAATGCATAAAAATGCATAAAAATGAAAAAAAAAAAAATAATTTGTAAATTGTATGGGTAGTACTAACATGCAGTTATTAATTATTATTACTATTATATTGTTCTATAAAATACAAAAATCTATGTAGAACGTAGGTCCTCATTAGGAATAATTAATACAATGTAATTTTTTTAATTTATTTTAAATTTCGTTAAGACAAAATAAATGTTACTAAAAGTATTCTATTATTAGAAAAAAAAACATTATATTTCATATGTTTAAGTTTATAAAAAGTTGTTAAATTTATTTATTACAACACTGTAGGTTAGGATGACATTTTGAATTGCAATAAATTTTATTTTTTAAACACTTACATCTGTTATTTTGACATCTTGTTGCACATGAACATTTAATAAATCCTTGTCCAGATCCAGTTGCTTCTTGAGTGGCAATAGATCGTAAACCCAATTCTTTTTCGTGGTTTACTTCATCTAAAGCCACAAAATTTTGTTGACAGACTGTAAATTGGGATCTGGCATAAAGTTGTTTCAGAACACCTAAAGAAAACAAATACAAATATAACAAAAACTACAAATTAATAATTAAAAATTTACGAAATTATCAATCAAACAATAGGTATACCTGTTTTATTTCCTAAACGATAAAATCCATCTTCTGTAACTTCCAAAACACACGCCAAAACATTATGAGCTTCTCCTCGTCCTCGATCAACATCTGAAATTGGTACTCTTACTGTGTTTCCAACAAGTGCCGGAGGGAATTTTTTATTTGATCTAGTTTTCATGTTTATAGCCTGTAATTCCAAATTAAAATGTGCTTCTCTTCGCTGGTTTTCGGTTTTTTTAGTTCTGCTACAAAGCTTACATAACAAGTCTTTCTCCACAGATATTGTGCCACTCTCATGGATTTTGCTATCACATGTTATACATTGAACCATATTTTTATCGTTTTCTTCTGAGCACACCAAATAATTCCCCTTATTTATACTATTATCAACTGTACAAATATCTTCGTTAATCGTAGTTATAATATCTTCGTCATTGGTAGCAATATTTTCGTCGTCCTTAGAATTTCCCGTATTTATATTATTATCAACTGTGCAAATATCTTCGTCGATCGACGTGATATTATCTTCGTCTTTGGTAATATTATTTTCGTCATCTTGATTATTTGGGCCAATGGAATTGTGATCTACCAACTTAAGAAGGCTCTCTTCATCATCTAAATCTTTTAAAATATATGGTGGTAGAAATGATGTATCTAAACCAACTTTCATTTTACAACCAAAAAGTGCTTCGTAAGGTGACCTATTTATACCTTTATGATAAGCTCGATTTTTCATCAGTTGAATAAATCTTAGACCTTCACTCCACTTTGAAGTATTATTGTCCCTCATCCATGTCATCAACATATTTTGAATGTCCTGGTTTGCCCGTTCGACACTTCCCTGACTTTGGGAATGTCGAGGTTTTCCATGAACGATTTTTAAATTGGGCCAATAATTTTTCAAGTTACAAACAATTTGATTGGAAAATTCACGACCGTTGTCGGATTGTAATATAGAAGGTGCTCCAAGTAAAGTGAAAATATCAATTAAATTATAAGCCACTTCTTCTGCAGTTTTTGTCTTTAATGGTTTTATGACGACAAATTTAGTTAAATGGTCCTGATATACCATTATAAATTTAAAAAGTTTATCAGCATTTGATTGAAAATCGATCAAATCAACTTGACAGCGACTATTAAATTCACTAGAAATAATGGGTTTCACTACTAATCCTTTTCTAATTTTTTTGTGTTTTAATTGACACAGTTCGCATAATGACAAATAAAGATCTACTTCGAAGCGCGTAATATTTTTAAACTTACTATTAAGCTCATACAACATTCTGTCTCGTCCTCCATGTCCTAACGATTGGTGAGCATCATGTAACACATCAAAAACGTCACTTTCTTTTATATAATATAAAATATTGTTATCATTATTTTTAACAGGATAAATTAATTTACTATTATTATTAACGACCAAAATATCATATTTTTTAAGTAACCAATAGTCACGCGGCTCTTTTTTTTTGTTTTCGATTTAGCACTATCAACATCTTTAATTAATTGATAATATCGCTCATCAGTTAAAAACACACTATTTTTCAAGTCACATTGACGCTTAAATAACTCGGCGTTAAAACGAACTTTCATTTCGCGCACTCGACTCTCCACGCACGACATTTTGTCAGAGACTGAAAATGATAAAATAGTATAAGAGTATAATATGACTACGGTGACAAAATTATCGCGTTATCTGTCGGCAGTCGGAATTCTACTTTATAGATTACAGATTACAGATTACTAATGGATTTATATATTGTCAAATATCAATAGGTACTGATTATATGGATTTAATATATTACCTATACATTGTTTGGCATTTCATATAATGCTTAGGTAATTTAAACAATTTTATAGATTTCCAGCTGTATTTGGTGTTATATAGAATTCCTAGACATTATATAAAATACCAATATTATACACATTGCCGCTAACATGTACATAAAGTGTCATAAAAAAAAAAAAAACGTCACACTAATCCCCCTGACCCACAGTGATAATTACACCACTTGTAATACTTATAGCTAAATAAGTATGAGTGGTTGTACAATGAGTTTGTGTGTGTAAAAGATGAGTACCTTTCGAGACGTTCAATGTAATGAAAAACATTACGCAGAGCAGGAAAAGGAATAGAGGAATAGTATTCCTATTACTATAATATCAGTAAAAAATGATAAGAGGCTAGCCACATGAGTCAGGAGTCATAATTAACTTATTTAAAAATCAGTTACTTACTTAATGCTTAACAAATAAAATATTAATATAATATAGGTCAAACAGTTTTATACAAAAATTGTCCATCATCCAATTAATTGCTACATATACTTTCATAATTTGTTAGTTTATCAACTATAAAAAATGCAATTCAATTAATGTATTTTTGTTCCTAATAATTTACAAATTTTTTCGAATCGGTGCAGGTGGTATAACCTATTATTTTAGATTCTGAGCGGAGCGATGAATGTATTGGTTTTACAATGATGTGTGTTTTTATATTTTTATATTTTTATATTTTTGTGTCTGTCATCACGTTTTAGGACAGTAAAAGTGCTTGGATTTTCTTCATCAATAGCTTTTCTGATAGGAAAGTGAATCTAGTTGGTACTTTGGGGGGTCAAAAGTATAAATTTCCCAGTAGTTTTCACAAGCGCCGAGAAAAACAACATAAAAATTAAGGAAAAACGGAAATCGAATTTGGTTTTTGGTGTAACTTTAAAACAAATGACCGTAGATACATGAAATTTTCACTGGTTGTTTATAATTGCATTTTCAATACACGATAACATTTTCAAAATATTTTGATTTATTTTGAACTGTTTAGGGACATTTTCATTTTTCATTTTTTTTTAGTTTTTTTTCTAGAAATATCAATAAAATTGTATTTGTTGGTTGCGAAAGCTTGAAAATTTAATAGAAGGCTCCTAATATGTTGTTTCAAAGGCAGATGAAAAATATTAAAAATCCTTAGTCACAATTTTTTTTTATAAGCATTTAAAGTTCAAAAATTGTAAAAATATGGAAAAATCACGACAATTAGCAAATTATTTTGAGTTAAGAATTCGTAAAAATTTTTCTTTTTAAATCTAAGATTTGAAAATGAAACACAAGATTCCTTATAAGATTATCTACCTTTATCAATAAAAAAATCTCTACCGGACAGTCAAGTTAAATTTTTATGAGCGTTTGAAATTCAAATTTTTACAACATTCGATATTCACTCGATTACTCATGTAGCGATTTCTTTATTTTGTTGCAATTCAAAAACGAACAACTGTAGATACATGAAAATTTCACTGAATGTTTAAATTAGCATTTTCTATACACCATACAATTTTGAAAATATTTTGACTCTCTTTGAGCTGTTTATGGACATTTACAGCTTTCAATTTTTTTAGGTTTTTTTTCTATAAATATCAATAAAGTTTTATCTGTTGGGCCAAAAAGTGTAAAAATTTAATACAAGGCTCCTGATATATTGTTACAATATCAGTTGAAAAATATTAAAAATACATAGTCACGATTTTTTTTTATAAGCATTTAAAGTTGGAATTTTGACAAAATTTATCAAAATCTCGAAAATTATCAATCGTTGGAATTAAAAAATTATAAAATGTTCAGTTTTTATAACTAAGAGTTGAAAATTTAAAACAAAGATTCTCTTAAATAATTCATACTGTAACCAAAAAATCTAAAAAATATATAAACACACTTATTTTTTACAGACATTTTAATTTCAAATTTAGACAAAATTTCATATTTAAACCAAGAATTACGATTTTAGTTATTTTGTTGTGATTGAATAATATTATTCGTGGGTACTTGAAACTTCTAAAGTGTACTATTATATATCTATGATAGTATCACGGTTTTTGTTGATGTATAACGCGTTATAAGTATCTAATGGATATTGTGATATGATTAGTTTGGAATTTATTATAGGTACATATTATACGTCAATTTTTTGTTCAATACCATAGATATGTATATAATATGTCTTATACATAGACTGACATACCGTCACCCCTCAGAATCGTTTTTCTTATACAATGATATTATATCATTGAATTCAAATATAATACCATCCATTATACAGTGACCCACTTGTAACCTACTGTACAGCAGAGCGACACCCACTTGCCCACCTTTTTAACGTTAATAATTAAGTGAATTATTAGAATATCATTAATTGCACGTTTAATATTAAATATTAATCAATGAATAGTATAAGTATTCTAGAAACTAATTCTTTATAACAAAGTTTAAACAAAAATAAATAAATAAATAAAAAATAATAAAATATTTAATTAAACCAATACCTGTATTACATTTTTCCACATTAGTAGACATTTGTTTTACCAATCATCTACAACTCTTTCCGAATTGTTGTAAAACTGTTTTTTTTTTTTTTTTTAATAAGATTTTGCAATTATACTTTAATTATCAGAAAAATAACGTATGCCATGATAACTTACCCAACATTGTTCATTGTTAATACATAATCGCAAATGTTATAGTATTAGTTACATACAAAAATATTTTTATTTATATAAACTTTTTTAGTTAATAGAATAATAGAATAATAACTTCTTTTTTAATAATGAGTATAAATTATATAGGTAGTGTGTAAATAGTTTTATTTTTATTTTCTCAATAACGGTTAGGTACTTTAATTGTTTAGTCTAATATCCATCATCAATATTATTATATTATTATATTCGGTGAATATGCAATTAATCTATTATTTTCCTCTTATAACTTATAAGTTATAACTATAAAACAGTATAAATTATGTATATTAATATAATTTATTTCGCTACACATATCTTGTACACATATACATACACATATTGTATAAAGTCTATTCCACGAAAGAATAATCGCTTTTCGCGCATCACGAATGATTCGATTGGTGCGTCGAGAACCACGTGATCACGTTAACACAGGGAAGTTGGTGGAGGATGCGTGGCCCTGACGAGAATCGGTCGGCGGACTGATTATTCTCTGGTGGAATAGACTATAGGTATTTAATTTTTCCATGTCAATTGTGTCGTCAAAAAAAAAATGTTACAAAAATGTAATATATAAATGCAGATTAGCTAATTATGTAATACGGTCGCCGACGGCTCGCCGTGCAGGGAAAATAAACACGGCCGCCGCAGTCCAGTTTCGCGCACAGGTGTCAACAAACCACAAATTATTGTTTTCGTGTGCCGGTCGAATGTTATAATTATATTTTTTTGAAAGGCGCAAATGGCCGTTAAAATATTATAAGTTTAAAGGCGCGATTCGCCATACTGTTCATATTGTTTTGCAAGGCACGAATCGCCATATTTGTAACACACCTATAGTGACAAAGGCGCGAATCGCCAAATATTAATTACTGTTTTTATAAGTTTTGAGACGCGAATCGCCATACATATTATTATCATGGTTGAAAAATATAGGTTATTGCATATTGTCTCGGATCGTTATCATCAGAAACAAAATGGCTGCGTAAAGGGATTCCACAAATATAAATTTTTCTTATCATCAAAAACAAGCTGACAAAAGCTAACAAATTCAAAATTCCTGCTCAAGTATACTTGATTATTATTGGTTCCCTTTATTGTTTCCCATTTTTGTTTTTACCATCAAATATTTTATCTAGAAGGGGTATAAATGCAATAACCTTGTATATTTTAACCATGATTATTATTACATATTCTGTGAAAGCAGGGCCTTGAGTTTCCCGGTGGGCCGCTTGTTTGAATTGGTCAGCTTGTACTCATAGGGACGTTTATTTTTAGGTTTATCGGTTGAGGCTTAACCTGTCAACAGACGGACGCATTTTTCAACGCGATTGTATTAGTCAACTATTTAGAATTAAGGAAATTCCTCAAAATAGATATGAAAAAATCTATAAATTGTCAAAAAACGATGCTTGTATGTTGCGTCATATTATTGTCTTCGTTAATCGGTAATCCCTACCTTATCGAAATCCAAGTCTGAGCCGCCCAAAATTTGCGACAATTATCATCACACAAACTCCCGAATATTCCGATGCCACCGTAGTGCAGGGGCGTCATTTGGGGTATTGCAGGGTATGCCTATGCATCCCTAAAATTATCAAGATGCAATTTGGCCAGACTATAATTTTTCTGCGCCGGGAAAAAATTATCCTTTTAGATTCTGAGTGAAACGATGAATGTATTGATTTTACAATGATGTGTGTTTATTTTTTTTTTTTTTTTAAATTTTTTTTGTGTCTGTGTACACGATAAGTAGTCGAAATAATGCTTCGATTTTCAACTTCAGTATCTTATTCGATTGGAAAGTGAATATCGTTGGTGCATTGAGGAGGTCAAAATTTAAATTTCCCAGTAGTTTTCAAAAGCGCCGGGAAAAACAAAAGAAAAATTAAGGAAAAACGGGAATTTTTACACAAAATCTGTTTTCGAGAAAATCAATTTTGGATTTTGGTGTAACTTTAAAACAAATGACCGTAGATACATGAAATTTTCAGTGGTTGTTTATATTTGCATTTTATATACACGATAACATTTTCTAAATATTTTGATTTATTTTGAACTGTTTAGGGACATTTTCATTTTCCATTTTTTTTTGTTTTTTTTCTAAAAATA